CCTCCCTCACCAAGAAGGCCCAGCAGAGGATGAACTTCCTGCGGCAGCTGAAGAAGTTCAGCCTGCCAAAGACAGTGATGGTGCACTTCTTCACCGCCATCATTGAGTCCATCCTCACCTCCTCCATCACCATCTGGTGCGCTGCTGCCACCGCCAGGGACAAGGGCAGGCTGCAGCGCATCATTCGCTCTGCAGAGAAGGTGATTGGCTGCAATCTTCCTTCTCTTCTGGACCTATACGCCTGCTGGACTCTGAGGCGAGCAGGGAAGATTGCAGCTGACTCCTCCCACCCCGGACACAAACTGTTTCAGACTCTCCCCTCTGGCAGGAGGCTGCGGTCCATCAGGACCAAAACATCTGGCCACATAAACAGTTTCTTCCCGTCTGCAAGTAGCCTCATTAACAAGGCCCGGGTCCCCCACTGACACTCTCCTCTTGCAAATTATACAAATGTCTCTGCACATGTAAATACCGTTTCATCTCGTGTCAGGCTCAGACCTGGAACGTCGCACATATTTGTTGTTGATTGTTGATCTTTGTTGTATATTTTTATGTTGTCAGTTTATATATTTATATGTACACAATATTCTCTTCCGGTGCGTTACTTCTGCACAGCACAGACCCAGAATACTGCACATGTAAATATCTGCAACGTTGTTCTTCCATTCCATATTTACTATATATATTTCTACATTTATTTATGTTGACTGTATTGACTACGTGTTGCACCTTATCACCACAGCAAATTCCTTGTATGTGTAAAACACTACTTTGCAATAAAGCTGATTCTGATTCAGTGCTTCTAGCTTGTTTACAGTTGCCATGGCCAACATACTAATCTCTTATTGTTGCATGACATATTGTCTGATGCAATGATAACTGATTCCCCAAAGATAAAATAAAGTCTGTAAAACACTGCAACAGAGGAGATCTTCATTAGAGCTGGTGGATACTACCAGCAATGAGCAGGAAGACACAAGACAGAGAAGCCAAGAGACTGAAACGAAAAAAACACTTAAAGTAGGTATTAACGATCTATTGTTTCCTCACAACGGTTGTACTTTAGATTCATGAGTTATCAATTATCATTAACAGAATACTTTCATTTCTGACATTTCAGGTTGATGGAAAACTACAGCTACAACAGCTTCATACTCCAGCTGGAGGGGTTCAATATCAGAACGGATTACATGTACCCTGTCTTTAGCTTGTTGCTTATTTCCTACATTCTTATAATGGTTCTGAATTTAGGCCTTTTGGTTATAATTTTTGTTGACAAGAACCTTCACCAGCCCATGTATCTGCTGTTATGCAACCTGTCAGTCAGTGACATTATTGGAAGTACTCATATTTTGCCCCATTTGCTTGCAGATATCTTGAGGCCTCCCTCTGAGCGTCTCATCAGTTATTATGAGTGTGTGGTCCAAGCTTTCACCGCACAGTTCTTTGGTACCACTTCCCACACTCTGCTCATGATTATGGCCTTTGACAGATATGTGGCCATCTGCTATCCCCTGCGCTATGCTGCCATAATGACCAACAAGATGGTGATCAAGCTGACAGTTTCTGCCTGGGGAGTGGCCTTTTTTTTTGTTGGGATTCTTCTTGGTCTGACCATACGTCTGAACCGATGCAGGACTCTGATTATGAATCCCTACTGTGACAATGCCTCACTGTTTAAGCTCTCCTGTGAGAATGTGTTTATAAATAATGTGTATGGCCTTGCTTACACTGCAGCCTTGCTCATCTCCTCTATAGGCAGCATGGTTCTCACCTATGCAAAGATTACAGTAGTCTGTCTGACCAGTAAGAACAAGTCTTTGAACAGTAAAGCCTTAAAGACCTGCAGCACTCACCTGGTTGCTTATCTGATTATGCTAATCAGTGGATTTGTTATCATTATTCTGCATCGCTTCCCTCAGTACTCAGAGTACATAAAACTCTCTGCCATTCTGTTTGTTATCATCCCTGGCATCCTCAACCCCATTATTTATGGTGTGCAGTCCAAAGAGATCCGAAAATTTTTATTTGAAATATTTCGGTCCAAAATATGCTTGTCATCATTTAAAAGATAAGTGTTTACCTTTTTGGCAAATTATTCACATAAATCATATCAAAAGCATTTAACACCGAATGAATGCTCTGTCGTAATTAAACAATATATTTTGCTTAAAACATATTAAAACTTATACTTTGTAACTTTGTAAGTGTTTATAGCAAAGTATGTTACAAAGGATTTGTTGAAATCCACGGACATTTATACATACAGAAATCTAAATTTCACATAGTGGCTCTGAAGATGTGAATAGCTTTGTTGCTTAAAATTGAGTACATTCTACATAACTACAATGATTGGTGTAATTTTCATACAGAAGTAATTCTAATTTTGATTATTTCAGTGTAATGAGGTGTTGATGGGAATGTAGACAGAATACAGAATAAGGAGTATATTGTTCAAGGTTTCCTTTGTAAAATGTTATCTGTGTGTCCGGCCTGCTGCTGCTTTCTGCCTGCAGTCAGTACAGTCAGTTCAGTTCATTGTTAGTAAAAACTAGAATGGATATTTTTTGTTGATCACCTTCTTTCACATCAAAAACAAGTAGATAACTAAAAATGTACCTTTATAGGACATGATAAAATGTATTTAAAAGGCTGTTAACTGCATCTAAAACTATGGTTTATTACAATTTAGGTGTATGCGATAATTAGTGAAATCATGGCTCACTTTTGATTTTACCAAAAAACTGGTTCCTCCTTTGGCAAAATTGTCATTTCATCTAAAGATAAAAGGCTGTCTGTCAGTCCGACCGCTCATGGTTGTTGCTACCATTGGCCTATATTTAGAAACATCCCCAGGCTCCCAGATCGAAGCAAATACTTTGGTCAATATGTTATAACTGACAGGACTGACTGCAAGACCTACACAGATAAAACCTGTGATAAATCACTTTTTCTTTTAAGAAGAATAAGATAAGATAAGAATAAACATTAACTGAGAAATTGAAAGAGTAAGTAAGATACTTATTTTAAACCAAAGTACTTTCTTGTCCAATTACCTATAGCATTAGTTGAACTTCAGCCACCCATACACATAAACACTTAAAAAAAAAAAAAGTTGATTTAGCTAGCAGTGACAAGCAGCAGGAAAACAATAAAGGGGGAGGACACAATATTGCTTGAATTTAGGAAAAATTAAGTAAACACAACACTATCAAGGGTTGTGGTTATGGATATAATATTGACAGTACTTCCTGTCTGCGATCATGCTCAGTTTATATGTCATCAATACAAATTAGTGCAAGATTAATGTAGGCTGTTAAACATCTGAATCTTCCTCTTGAATTTTGCTTAAGAAAACATTTTAGTCTCTATGCCAGATTCTTCTGTTGTTGTTTAATGTAATTTAGAGGACAGGTTCAATAAGGCCAAGCGAGCAGGGACAACAGTCAGAGGCTGGCAACATTCATACAGCTAGATTTTGGGACTGACAACTGAATTTATGTACTAAGGAGACTGAGTCTTGTATTGAGAAATCTATGTAAGACTTAGACTATATATTAAATTGGTGTTGGACACAAACTGAATAATGACAATGGACAGGGCTGCTTCCTATGACACTACGGCTGTAAACATACTCAAGTGTGTACAACGGCTTAATCTTCAGCAAAGACGACAACAGGAAAAAAAAAGAATAAGACATGGGAAGTAAATGGAGTTCAAGGCAGTGTGAATGGTTCGACTTTGAAAAAACTGAAATAAAACTTTAGACATTGCAACCTCCAGAAAAGACCTGTAAACTTCACCATGGTGCAGGTGGAAGAACAGTTAAGTGAAAAAAACATTTTTGCTGTTGCTGTTTATATTCCTCCGGATGCAAGCTCAAAAAATGCGCTAAAGGAACTATGATGTCATCAGCAGTCCCTTAACAAAATGAGTTTTTATTGTAATCAAACAGATCTTAGAACCATTTAACCTAAATTCAACCTGCATATCCACATCCTCACCAGGGGAACAAATAAACTGGACCATGTTTATACGAAAAGTCCTGACCTAAATACCAACAACACTAAAGTGTTGGAATAAACTGAGCAAGGACTGGAAACCTCAGGAGGCTGGGCAGGGGGCTGGCGACAAAGGCAGCGACACTCTGGAGGCAGCGCAGGAGGCCGGCGTCAGAGGCGAGGCCAGGCTGGGAACCGGTGTCCAAACAACCGGGCTTGGTACTGGTAACAAGACAACCGGGCTGGGAACCAGCACAACCAGGCTTAATACCAGTAACTGGACCACCGGGGCCTGGAGTTGGCTGGTTCACCAACGTAGCAGTTGTTGGTTTGACTACCGACGAGGGACAAGGAGCAGGTGTGGGTCAGCCCACCGACGGAGAATCTGGAGAAGGAGTCAGTCGGACCACTGACGAAGCAGTTGTCGGTCGCAACACCGACGGAGGATTAGGACCAGAAGTTGGTCGGCCCACTGATAGAGCCGCTGCTGGTCGGCCCACCGAGGTAGGATCAGGTGTCTGACCAGGGACAGAAGATGGCACCGGGCATTACAGTCTCTTTGGGGTTAGCTAGCATGCTGTAAAGCAGGCCGGAAGGCAGATGAGCAGCCAGGCAGGACTCGCAGCTGGATAGCTGCTGCAGCACCTTCACCTTCACCCGAGACTGATGGCTTCCTTCTGGCTTTGACAACGGGCTCCTTTCAGCTTACTCGCTGCTGTCCAGTGCTGTGGAGGTGCGGAGGTCTGGCTATCCGGCATCTAAAAATGGAGCTGCATGGCGTTGTAGAGATAGTGCTGCCCTCCAAAGATGGAGCTGAAAATAAGAGTTGCCTCTATCCTGACTCACAGGCCATCATTGTAACGATTTGTCAATCACAAGGAAGCCCCTCCCCTGCTTTCTGGTCTATTTTCCTCGAAATGGGTCCATAATTTACTAAATGAACATCATGCTGTGTTGAAGAAGACTTCAAACTAGCGACTGAGACTATAAACTCATGTTTATCTGTCAGTCAACGATCTACTTGGAAACACTATCGTTGTGCCCCGTTTGCTTGTAGACTTGTTGAGGCCTCCCTCTGAACGCCTCATCAGTTATTATGAGTGTGTGGTCCAAGCTTTCACAACACACATGTCTAGTACCGCTGTTCACACTGCGCTCATGATTATGGCCTTTGACAGATATGTGGCCATCTGCTATCCCCTGCGCTATGCTGCCATAATGACCAACAAGATGCTGATCAAGCTGACAGTTTCTGCCTGGGGAGTGGCCTTTGTTCTGGTGGGGATTCTTCTCGGTCTGACCATACGGCTGAACCGATGCAGGACTCTGATCGAAAGCTCTTACTGTAACAATGCTGCACTGTTTAAACTCTCCTGTGAGAATGTTTCTATTAATAACATCTATGGCCTCACTTTCACTGTGGTCCTGTTCACAGGTTCAATAGGCAGCATTGTTCTCACCTACACCAAGATTACAGTAGTCTGTCTGACCAGTAAGAACAAGTCTTTGAACAGTAAAGCCTTGAAGACCTGCAGCACTCACCTGGTTGTGTATCTGATCATGCTGATCAGTGGATTTGTTGTCATTATTTTGCACCGTTTCCCTCAGTACTCGGACTACAGAAAGCTCTGTGCCATTGTGTTTGTTATTGTCCCTAGCATCCTCAACCCTATTATTTATGGCATGCAGTCCAAAGAGATCCGAACATTTTTGTCTAAGTTCTTTGAGTCTAAGACGATTTTGCCGTCATAATAAAAAACGATTTCCAAGGTGTTTCTGTACATTTATGAAGACATAACATTAAATGTGAACCAAGAGGAGCCTACTGTATTCTATGGTCTTGTGTTCTAATGCAAGTTAGCTCATGGGAGTTTTTCTCTAATGGAGATCACATATTGGATTTGTGTAGCCATCTCACAGTTGTGCTTTCCTACAGAAACTCATGTGAGTCCATCTTCTGCAATCAACTGTGTAATGTGAGGAGGGAATGAGACACTTTGCCTGCAACTTGATGTCTCACTTTAAATGTTACAGTTTCCTACCTGGAAAGCCACATGGCAGTTTCTGTGAAAAACCCCCACACAAAACAGTGTTCTGAAAGTGCATATGCAGGAAATGCTAATTTCATCTTAAAGTTATGGATATGTCAGAATTAGTTGTTCAACAAATGGTCTATTATGTTGTGATGTGGTTGGCAATAACAGGTGCATCTAAAAATGGAATATTGAGGAAAAGTTCATTTTCCACTGTATTTAATTACAATGTGTGTCATGTATTTCATATATTATGGATTCAGTACACATATTGTAATAGGTAGAGCCCGACCAATATGGAATTTTTAAGACCAAAACCGATTTCAATATTATGAGAGACATGCAAAAGGTGCTGCAGCCGTCCCCTGTTTCCTCCAGACCGAAGTCTGAGCACAGGGGAGATGTTTGCTCACATTAGCCACCTTCACTTTCCAGTAGTTGGGAGTTTTTATTGTAATCAAACAGATCTTAGAACCATTTAACCTAAATTCAACCTGCATATCCACATCCTCACCAGGGGAACAAATAAACTGGACCATGTTTATACGAAAAGTCCTGACCTAAATACCAACAACACTAAAGTGTTGGAATAAACTGAGCAAGGACTGGAAACCTCAGGAGGCTGGGCAGGGGGCTGGCGACAAAGGCAGCGACACTCTGGAGGCAGCGCAGGAGGCCGGCGTCAGAGGCGAGGCCAGGCTGGGAACCGGTGTCCAAACAACCGGGCTTGGTACTGGTAACAAGACAACCGGGCTGGGAACCAGCACAACCAGGCTTAATACCAGTAACTGGACCACCGGGGCCTGGAGTTGGCTGGTTCACCAACGTAGCAGTTGTTGGTTTGACTACCGACGAGGGACAAGGAGCAGGTGTGGGTCAGCCCACCGACGGAGAATCTGGAGAAGGAGTCAGTCGGACCACTGACGAAGCAGGTGTTGGTCGGAACAATGACGAAGCAGTTGTCGGTCGCAACACCGACGGAGGATTAGGACCAGAAGTTGGTCGGCCCACTGATAGAGCCGCTGCTGGTCGGCCCACCGAGGTAGGATCAGGTGTCTGACCAGGGACAGAAGATGGCACCGGGCATTACAGTCTCTTTGGGGTTAGCTAGCATGCTGTAAAGCAGGCCGGAAGGCAGATGAGCAGCCAGGCAGGACTCGCAGCTGGATAGCTGCTGCAGCACCTTCACCTTCACCCGAGACTGATGGCTTCCTTCTGGCTTTGACAACGGGCTCCTTTCAGCTTACTCGCTGCTGTCCAGTGCTGTGGAGGTGCGGAGGTCTGGCTATCCGGCATCTAAAAATGGAGCTGCATGGCGTTGTAGAGATAGTGCTGCCCTCCAAAGATGGAGCTGAAAATAAGAGTTGCCTCTATCCTGACTCACAGGCCATCATTGTAACGATTTGTCAATCACAAGGAAGCCCCTCCCCTGCTTTCTGGTCTATTTTCCTCGAAATGGGTCCATAATTTACTAAATGAACATCATGCTGTGTTGAAGAAGACTTCAAACTAGCGACTGAGACTATAAACTCATGTTTATCTGTCAGTCAACGATCTACTTGGAAACACTATCGTTGTGCCCCGTTTGCTTGTAGACTTGTTGAGGCCTCCCTCTGAACGCCTCATCAGTTATTATGAGTGTGTGGTCCAAGCTTTCACAACACACATGTCTAGTACCGCTGTTCACACTGCGCTCATGATTATGGCCTTTGACAGATATGTGGCCATCTGCTATCCCCTGCGCTATGCTGCCATAATGACCAACAAGATGCTGATCAAGCTGACAGTTTCTGCCTGGGGAGTGGCCTTTGTTCTGGTGGGGATTCTTCTCGGTCTGACCATACGGCTGAACCGATGCAGGACTCTGATCGAAAGCTCTTACTGTAACAATGCTGCACTGTTTAAACTCTCCTGTGAGAATGTTTCTATTAATAACATCTATGGCCTCACTTTCACTGTGGTCCTGTTCACAGGTTCAATAGGCAGCATTGTTCTCACCTACACCAAGATTACAGTAGTCTGTCTGACCAGTAAGAACAAGTCTTTGAACAGTAAAGCCTTGAAGACCTGCAGCACTCACCTGGTTGTGTATCTGATCATGCTGATCAGTGGATTTGTTGTCATTATTTTGCACCGTTTCCCTCAGTACTCGGACTACAGAAAGCTCTGTGCCATTGTGTTTGTTATTGTCCCTAGCATCCTCAACCCTATTATTTATGGCATGCAGTCCAAAGAGATCCGAACATTTTTGTCTAAGTTCTTTGAGTCTAAGACGATTTTGCCGTCATAATAAAAAACGATTTCCAAGGTGTTTCTGTACATTTATGAAGACATAACATTAAATGTGAACCAAGAGGAGCCTACTGTATTCTATGGTCTTGTGTTCTAATGCAAGTTAGCTCATGGGAGTTTTTCTCTAATGGAGATCACATATTGGATTTGTGTAGCCATCTCACAGTTGTGCTTTCCTACAGAAACTCATGTGAGTCCATCTTCTGCAATCAACTGTGTAATGTGAGGAGGGAATGAGACACTTTGCCTGCAACTTGATGTCTCACTTTAAATGTTACAGTTTCCTACCTGGAAAGCCACATGGCAGTTTCTGTGAAAAACCCCCACACAAAACAGTGTTCTGAAAGTGCATATGCAGGAAATGCTAATTTCATCTTAAAGTTATGGATATGTCAGAATTAGTTGTTCAACAAATGGTCTATTATGTTGTGATGTGGTTGGCAATAACAGGTGCATCTAAAAATGGAATATTGAGGAAAAGTTCATTTTCCACTGTATTTAATTACAATGTGTGTCATGTATTTCATATATTATGGATTCAGTACACATATTGTAATAGGTAGAGCCCGACCAATATGGAATTTTTAAGACCAAAACCGATTTCAATATTATGAGAGACATGCAAAAGGTGCTGCAGCCGTCCCCTGTTTCCTCCAGACCGAAGTCTGAGCACAGGGGAGATGTTTGCTCACATTAGCCACCTTCACTTTCCAGTAGTTGGGAAACACCACACAGACTTTAATTGGTCGTGAGAAGCCTGCACTGTATACATTTACTCCCACAGTGTGTGAGTGAAAATCAAATATGTGCAACTGTGACACAAGAATTTCCCCCTGGGGATCAATAAAGTATTTCTGATTTTGATTCTGATTAATGTATGCAGCAAGGTGTTGCACATGTTTTAGCTCTTGCTCTCAAACTTTAGTTGTCTTCGCTCTTTATTATTTATTTATTATATATAACCCCATTTTCAGTGTCTGTCTTGCAGAAAAGATGTTGATCTTTCAAAGCTGTATGTGGTGTTTGACATGTTTAGTAGTAGCTATGCTCTTCCAAAGTGAAGGGTTTTACAGCTTTTAGCAGACTTTTAGAGTGTGTCATGTGATCATGTTAGAGGGTGGAGAGGAGGATTTTGCAGACCAGAATGTTTTTTTAAACTGCTGCCAGTTGCATATATTTATCTCCATAAGCCCAAAAAAGGCACCAAAATGTAGCCACATGCCTTTTCTCCCTCAAAATGTCAAAATCCTGCTCAGTGGACGTTTTTTTTTTTTTATCTCTGATCCTTAATTGATTGGAAAGTCTCAGTCATCTCTCATTCACTCCCTGTTGTAGCTGCAGCCTGAGGTCTCCCCCTGTCACTAATTCTTTAACTTGCTGTATCTTCCTCCCTGTTTGGAGTTTGGACACAAGATGTATATTTTTATGCTCAGCTACTCAAGCACCAACTAAAAGGTCCAAAATGATAGCTGAAACGCTTTTTTTTAAGCAAATACGCTTTTTGTATCAACAAAGCCTGTCATTATCTCAGTACTAGCAAGCTCGCTAGTGGTGCAGTGGTTAAGACTTCAAGCCATAAAGCAGCACCTCTTAATTCAGTCGTGATAATTGGTTTCAACTTTAAACACCTGTTTGAATTTAATGATAACAAAAAACTAAAGATGACTTAAAACACCAAAATGTTAGCTGAAAAGCTTTTTTAAGCAAATGCACTTTACCATCAACAAATGATCACATTGTGACTTCATCAGCTGTGTTCCTCTATAGCTTGCTCGATTAGAGCACTGGTTTCCTGAGCATACTTTTTCATTCAGACCGAGGTTACACCTGTGTGAAGACCGTCTTGCAGTGGTTGGTTTTATATGTATGTTGTTAGTCTTTCTAAATGCAGTAAGTTTTTCACAAGATTAGTCTTTTTCTCTGTCTTTATGTTATTTTGCAACACTGGACTACACACACAGAAAATATAAGCACAATCAAAACAGTGCTCTGCCACGCATTTGTGGTCATAGATTGCCCTCTATTGGTGCTTTGAAGCATAACATGCATTCAGTTCCCACTGACTTGCTGTGGTGTTTTTAAATTTCAATCATAGTCTTTCTAAATGCAATCAATGTTTACCTGGATATCAGTATCTCCTTAAAATAGTTGATAGCTCTATATATTTTATTCGACAACAGTGGACTGGACCTCAAATAAATCAGCGCTGGATGGGCTCTTGCACATGAAGCGTGACAGGTAGTGTTGCTCTGATTTGTCACGTTCCTGACACTTGTGTGCCAAGAATGTTTGGTAATTGAGCGCCCTCTGTTGGAGCTTCAGAGGCCTTTCATGTCCATGAATACCAGAGCAAATGGAGAAAGCTAAAATCAGCATTGACCCAGTGAGTCTGAGTAGCGTAGTAGTTAAGTACTTGCTCTGTCAACCCCAAGATTGGTGGTTTGAATCTAGGGAATGGCATGTTGACTGCAATTCTAAACTGAAGAAAAAGTTCTGCAAATACATTTCATTTTTGGCCTTAATGTTCTTGAAAACTTTGAACACACACCAGGAGGGTCAAAAAACAACAAGAAGTCGGCCATTTTGGATTTAATTGTCATATATGGCGATTTACACACTCCAAACTTTAACAAACTTGCTGGAGAATTTGTCTGTGCTACTTTCCAGAAATTTTTGCTGTGCAGTCTTGTCCCATCAATGATCACATGTTGTACAAATGGTGAGTTTTGGTCTAACGGGGGAGTCCATGGTGTGGAATTTAAATGGTTTGCCACAAAACAGGAAGCTGTTACAACTAAAGTGTACATGCTCACATCTGTACCAAACATTATGTGACTGATAATGGTCCTGCCCCCAACACATCATAGTCATAGCACCACCTACTGGCAATAGGAAGTAAGCCTTGTGTGACACCCATTATGCGATTAAACTAAACTTTCAACATGATGTACTGGGACATAACGTATCATTACTGGGTGCTCCTTTGCACCACGTAGAGGACACAGGAAGTGACTTTTAAGTATTTTGTGCAGTGTCCAAAGTGCATGAAACTTCAGAACAACACTACCTGCCACACTTCACGTGCAAGGGCCAGTCCAACCTTGACATCTGATTTAATATTTAACCGAATTAGTCTGTGGCATGTGATTCTTTTACCTGTAGGTAGCGCTAAAGGAATTTAAATTGCAGATGGAGCAGTACTTTGCAGCAGCATTGGTAGCAGTCACAGTTAACAGCTGACAGCTCTCACACTCATTTACTTGCTGCCCATTCTAGTTAGATTTAGATATTTTTGTTCCAGGGCAGACATGTACTCAACAAAGCGAAGTAAGAATATTGATACTATAGAATACTACAAATATAATTTGTATTTATTGGCTTAAAATAATTGTTCGGGTTGATTCCTCTGCTTCACTATTTAAATCCCTACTGTGGTTGGACACCAATACCCTGAGGGAGGCTGCATTTCAGAGCAACTTTACTAGACACCAGTTTATGCTAGACACACACAGCCACATGGTGAAGGAAGATTGATTCAACTCAGTGAGTGAAACTGAGTGTAACTGTAAGTTGTTGTTAGAGACTTTTACTTGCTGAACTTAAGCCATGTTAACTTGAGGTTAAGGAAAGGGTGTATTTTAGTTGGCTGTCTAAAACACTAGTGTTGGTAGTGTAAATGCCATTAATATTACCCATCTCTAGCCTTTTTCAGTCCCCACAGAATGTTGTCAGAAAACTAAATGTCATGGTGTCCCTGTTAATACTATCGTGCCTTTTATATCCTTTGTTAGATCCCGAGTTACCCCTATTCAGGAGGTACTGGACCAGCTCTCCATCGTAAAGGGTCCGATCCTCTAGGCCTATGGGTATTACCCTATTAGGTATAACTGAAGACTTTTTAAGCTGGTGTCGAAGAGATTCGCCTAGCATCTCACTGTCTTCTTCCGAACGCCTACCCTGCTTACTCTGAAATGGCACCTGACTGAATAGCCCTAGAGCCAAATACCACCCCAGCCACGCCCGTTAACGACAGCTCTCTTCTCATTGATCAGTGCACTTGGTGTGGTTGCTAGGATTGTGTTTAGTGGCCAGGAAAATAGGCCCCAAGGATAAGTTAATTTTGTTGGCTAGAGCAACCTATAAGAACCTTAAAGATGTTAAACACACTTTACCTAATGAATTACTACCTTAGTGAAGAAAGAAATTCAGTGTCTACTACTTGTACTTTAAATGCAGTGATTATATATTTTATTGCAAAACTAAGCAAGGGCAAGCATACAACTTAAACTGATTAAAACCTAAGTAAACTGATAAAATCTCTAAAATTCAAAACCTGATTATAATAGCTGAGCTTGAGTATTTTGATGTCTTCTTTTTGGAGAGAAAGGGAGGGGAAGGAGCTGTCCCGGCCGGTGAAATCCTTCCTCCGCTGCTGGGCTGTTGACTCTGGTGGAAACTTGAGGCTTTGCCCAAAGCCCTCAAATTGTCTCTAAGAATCTTCAGTCTTTGTCACAGTTGAGTGAGAGAAAAGCTTCAGAGTCCGATGATTCTTCAGTTGGTTTGGTCGTTGTGGTTACCCTCTGTGGCTCGATCTCTTGATGCCCACTGAAGAAAACGTCTCGGGTTACGTATGTAACCCTGGTTCCCCGAGAAGGGGAACGAGAGACTGCGTCGGTTACGACACTATGGGAACGCCTCTAGGCGAAGCAGGTCTGAACGTGAATGAAATCACTCCAATCCTATTGGCCTGTTGCTAGAACGGTAAGGTGTGACGGAATAACCGGAGGAGTATAAAGCACACCTGTACACACTCATCATTAGCTTAAACTATGAAGCAGGCGCTTCAGGCGGGGAGAGAGGTGCGGCGGGCCGACGCAGTGTCTCGTTCCCCTTCTCGGGGAACCAGGGTTACATACGTAACCCGAGACGTTCCCCTTCGAGGGAACTCGAACTGCGTCGGTTACGACACTATGGGAACGAGATACCCACTAAACCGTG